CGTATTAAAACCATAAACCTTCACCCGTTACAAGCTGTCCATAAGTTTGCTATAACAGAACAAAGACCAGGTTATTGTAAAAGCTTGGAGCATTTGAAATAAAAAAAAAAAAAACAAAACAAAAAAAAACAACAAACAAACAAACAAAAAAAACAGTTTTCCCCTCACAAAACTCTCCGTCATCACTCAGACGTGACGTTATGTAAGTGTCATGCATGTTTCATATATAAATACACGTCCTGGATGTTTGGAGTGGGTGTGAGATGAGGATGGCATGTTGCCACGATAAATAAATGAAAGGCGTTGCCTTTTGTTTTGGACCGGAGCGGAGGGGGGCTTGGGGGGGTCACAGAGTAGTGGCAGTCTGATGCGAGTCCAGCTTCCACAATATTTACATGTAATAGACTTCCCGCCTGTTCCGGCTTCGTCTGCTGTTCCTCCAGTCACGGACTGAGACTACAGAGTGCTACATTGTGCAATTCCACATTCACGCTTTTGTACAATAGGTCCCAGCCAGGACAGAACACCACGACGTCCAATCCCCATAACCACACAGGGAGGAACCCTATTCAGTCAAAACTGAACAAGCTGTTGTTTTTTTTTTTTTTTTTTTCAGGGATTGAGACGCTACACTTAACAGCATGTTAAATTTGGCAGAAATAACATTGCTACAGAGTGTTTTTTTTTATCATAAAGATGATTTTCTAACACATGAAACATACATCGTTATCTAACCGTTTATGCTTATAAAAATACAGGCCTGTCGTTCATGATTTAAATATGAATAACGTCTGCAGAAACATTGATAAGGCCTGTTAGTCATGATTTAAATATGATTACAGGCCTCCGTTTAAAATGTAATTCCGTTATATGAGCAGTAAAGAAGCAGCATCTCACAAACAGTACGCACAAAAAAGGCAGAACTCTGTACAAGTGTATAAACATCTCAGAAAATGTTATAGAAGCAGTTAATAACCAGATGTTCTAATGAAAACATCATCAGCCAAGAAGTATACTGTGATTTTGAGGCGTGAGTTTAAAAAATTGTTGTAAACATTCTTTATATAGATTCCTTGACTGAATAGGGCCCTAAAGACACAGGTTAAAATCTACTGTACAGTATGCGGCACACAGATATACAGGAAAACATCAGTTCACACATTTACATAAAGAAAGACGGCCGTCTATATGCAGAGTTTGATGACTGATTGGGAGGAAAATGTTTGTGCTTTGCAACGAGTTAAATTCGCGGTGGACCTGTGACTGGGCGCAGCCACACGGCCAAACTTGTCTAAAAGTGACAGTGCAGTTACCTGAACCACTGGGCTTTGATTATGAAGACTGATCTCTTGTGGACTCAGAAAATGTTGCGGCTGACTTCTTGTGGCTCGCCGAGAATCAAACAGCAACAGCGGATTTCAGTGGGTTAGCAAGAAAAAAAAAAATCATTTAAAGTTCTCAAGATCCACATGGGCCAATAAATAATTCTGACAATATTAAATATTTGAGTAAAAATATCTTTATGGTAGTAAAACATACTTTGAAGCCAACTGATTAAATGGTCTGTTGCGACTCTTACTAAAATTGCTAGTATGATAACATCCAATTTACAATTGTTCATTTTAGGTTTAATAATACAGTAGAGTGATGTTTTCACAATACAGAAATGGTGAACCTCTTGGCAATCTTTTTAAAATATGGCTTTTCAGATAAACCTGCACAGCAGCTGACCAACAATATAGACTAATTACCAGCTGAGTTCTGTGGTTACTTTGAGGCTTGCTAGTTATTAGCAAACTTATCTATTGCAGTAGCTAGCCAGCTTTTATCTGATTATTGAGTCAACAGACATGCTAACTATAAAGTTTGTTGCTAACATTTGATTGTAAAAACATTGGATTTTTAACGTAACTTTGAGACTTAATAGTTATTAGCAAACATATCAATCACAGAACCAAGTAACTTCTGGAACAATTTATCATCCAGCAAAATTTGTGATTGTGACAGGTCTGTGTGCGCGTGCAAGATGGAGGTACATATTAGCAAAAGGATTAATTGACCCAGAGCTGCTCAATGTGCCCTTCACTCCACAGTAAAGAGGTGGTTCTTATACACAGAGACATTAAAGCAGTATGATATGTTTTACCCATAAATTTATGCTGGCAGTTCCACAGATAAGAAATTTTCACTGAAATCTATTGAGCTGTCAGTGGTAATCTCACGTTGGACAAGGTAAACAGGGAAGCCGCCAAATGAGTCCGCTGTAACTGTTTGAGTCTGAGTGGAGCGCTGCTGCCGTCACGAAGCTTACAGGGGGTTTAAAAAATGCACACTTAAACTTAAATTTTTTTGTAATCGTTGGGAAAATCTGCCAGTAAATTTAAACCAAACGAAAGACTATATTGGTTTTTTTCTCCCCACCATGTCGGTGTTCAAGGAAGAGAGGGAACAAAAAACAGAGGTGGCGAACAGGACTGAGCATCTGGATGAGCTGACTGCCACAACCGTCCCTGAAAGGAGCACTACCGTAAGGCCTGTGATATTCTAGCATTAATTCACAGATTGTTTCTGTCTGAACACACGAAACACAGAATGGCCTTGAAGAAAACAGTCCATTGAGATGAACACTTACAACATGAAAGAGCAACAGGAGGTGTGTTTCCACGCCTTGGAAAGCTCCTGCTGTTACGTAAGGCAGGGTCCGTTTAGGACAAATGTGACACACTCTGTGTTTCCCACGCTGCCGTAGTTCAGCTGACCTCGCAATACTTCATTTATTTTATATTTAGCAGTTGGAATTAATAATAAAAAAAATAATAAAGAACATGGTGACACCTCCTTCTCTGGGTGTTAAGTGCTGTTTTCGCCCCTCACATTTCTGGCTCCAAATAGTTTTAATTGCGGACATGGCAGCCAAAAAAGTGTAAACACTGGTTTATAAAAACCCACTGACAGATTTTCTCCAAAAATCTTTTTTTTTGTTGATTTTTTTGTTATTATTCTGGGACTTTTTTTTTTTTTTAACAAGTTTGACACTGGCACATGGGTTTTAGGTGGACCGCTCCTCCTAAACTCTACGGCTTGTCAGACAAATTTTAATGTTAGGCAAAAATAACCTGAGTAACACGCTTTAAAAACAACATATCCAAACCCACGCTCACAAAGAAGACCAGCTTAAAACTGACAGCATTTCAGAAACAGAACGTCAAACAGACGCTCATGATGGTAGTGTGGTGGTTTGGTTCTACTTTGCTGCTTCTGGCTCTGGACAACTGGCCCTGGATAATGGAACCATGAACTCTGTTCTTTAGCAAGAAATCCTAAAGGAGGATGTCCGGTCGTCCGTTTGTTACTTTAAGAGGACAGTTTTATGTGTAAAGTTCCTTCACAGCAACGAGGCAGACCTACAGCCACGAAACACACGTGTTGCCACAGAGGGTGGCAGCAACCAATTATTAGTTTTAGGGCGCAATTATTTTTTCCACACTGGGCCAGGATAATGTTTTTCCATTAATGAAGGATTGCATCATTTGAGAATAACAGAATTTTCTAATTACTCAGGTTATCTTTGCCTGATATTAAAAATCTATTTGATAATTTAAACAGTTAAATTTGAAATAGAAGCAAAAACCTTTTCACAGAGCGCTGCGTGAGTTCTCACTGGATAAGGAGTTTGAGTTTCATCGGCTGGTTATCAGCTCTTTGAGCATTAATTCAGTGTGTTGATACCGGCTCTGATTACAAACAAATTGGCATGAGAGGTTTTAGAGAATTTAGTAATGATCTTGTATAACAAAATAATGGTTAAAGCTGCAGTATGTAACTTTTACATTAAAAAAGATTTTTTTTTTTTTACATATTTGTGAAGCTGTCACCATTTTGTGATGGTATAGTAAGAGACAGATTATGAAATAAAAAAATTAAGCTCCTCCACCTCCTCAGTGCTAACTAGAAACAACCAATGAGAGCCATGAGGCGGGTCTTAGTGCTGTCAATCATCCTAATGATCATACTCCTCTCTCTCCCCACTTTTCTCTCTGCTATAATCCTGTAGTGATTGCTAATGCTAGTTAGCATGGCCATCAATGACGGCAGATAAACTGTTTTTCTGTAAGTTGTTTCTCTGCCATTAGCCTATTTAGCAGCGAGTACACGAGGATGAGTGACAACACTAAGACCCGCCTCCTGCCTCTAATTGGTTGTATTGGGTGGGAAGTGGTGCATTTCTCCAGACAGCAGCAGCAGCTCAGGGAGGAGGTGGAGATCGATCTTTTCACATTATTTTTCTCATATTAAATTGTCCCAACACAGTGACAGTTTTAAAAAATATGTTAAAAAAAAACATTTTTTAAAATAAAACTTTCATAATGTAGCTTTAACTAACATAATTCACAAGACTTGTTATTCACAAGAAAAGATGTGACATTTACATTTTGTACAGAGTAAAGTAGGAGGTAGAGAGACGTAACCAAAACACAGCGATGCCTCTGAAGTGCAGCTGTATTTTCACAAAAAACAGCGGCGCTGTGGATCGCAGCTCACAGTCAGAGACTCTGTAATGAGAGGTGTGTGTTTTTGACTGCTGGGCTTGGAGATCCTCATTTCCAGAAGCCACGGTGTAGACGGGACGATGCCTGTGAATGTTTTCTGAAGTTAACAGTAAGGCTGGTTGGAGTCCCAGCTGCATTTGACTTGACCCGAACCCCAGGGAGCGCCGCTTCCTGCTGGTGGGCGGAGCGGAAGGAGGGAAGATCTCAGGTGGTGACGGGTTGGTCTGTGGCGGAAGCTAGCAGCGTTAGCGGCGGTGCAGAGGGAACGAGCCCTGAGTGTGGGACGACACTGCATGGTTCTTCTACACTAAAACATGCTCTACTTATTTAAAAAGAAACAAAGTATAACTGCTGTACATGTAGGGGGGAAAGAAAATGGGATCAGGGCCTAAAAGTTTTAAATTCACAACCTCCTGGTTCTGCAGGTGAAAAATATGACTCTGAAAGGTTTTCACATTGAACGGTATAAATCGTTTATCACCTGAAAGAAAAACCCTCTCTGCTTTCCACATGTAAACATTGAAGTATCAAGAGATTTCGTGAAAGGTTCAGGAAGTGGATGCAGAAGAACAAAGAGGAACGGACAGTGTTTGCGACAGAGTCTCACTATTCCGAACCTTTTCTGGACGTCCTGTTCCTTCTCCTCTTCGTTGGATTTCCGCCGGTTGGAAAGATTTCCAACCACCACGACCTTCAAAATTACCCGAGCGCAAAGTCCCGTCACTGAAATCATGGAAGCATCCCCAAGTCAGGGCTACGCGCTGCAGCCAAACATTCCTGAAAGTGCAACGCGAGACAGTGGGTGAAGTTCACCGTGTGCTCACAGGCTTCCAGTGAAGACTGTAGCGAGAAAAGGAAGCTCAAAGAGAAGATTGGAAGCCGGTAAAAGCTGGCCAGCCGATGCAGAGGGTTGGGGGCCTCGGCCCTTCAGATCCGGCTTACCCGTCTGGTGTGGAGAGGGTGGATGGCCGGGGGCGGACACGGGGTGTAAGGTGGAGGCTGGGGGCCAGGTTTGATCCCTCGGGTCCTCATGTAGGAGAGAAACTGGTCGGGGATTTCGGCGAGCACTTCTTTAGCCAGACGAGCCATGCTTAGGATGTGGTTACCTCGCCGGTCAATGTAGTCTCTGAAAGGAACAAACTAAAGAGAAAAAGAATCGAAGAAATGAGAGATATGGAAGGTGGAAATTAATTGGGCAAAAGGAAAATGGTGAAGAAAAGAGACAAGATGAGAAGCGAGAGGTGAAACGACGGCAGATTACAGAGAAGAGAGTCAAATGCCATGATCCGTTTCATTAAAGCTACACTATGTAACTTTTATGAAAAATATATTTTTTACATATTTGCCAGGACAGTCACCATGTCGTGACAATATGATATGAAATAGCACCGCTCAGAGGATGAGTGACAGCACTAAGACCCGCCTCCTGGCCCTGATTGGTTATTTCTAGTTAGCACTGGGAGAAGGATTTTTTTCTGTGGATTTTTTCACAGATGATCTGTCTCATACCATGCTGTCACAACATGGTGACAGTTTCAATACATATGTAAAAAAATATTTTTATAAAAGTCACACACTGCAGCTTTAATCTCAAATTTCACATTTCTTATTCGGGAATACTCTGTACCTGAACGATGTCCCTTTCTGCATATCGTCCCTGGGATGAGATCCTCTCTTCGTCCCCATCCAGCTCAATCATTTCTGCGAAGGAAACAACATCACTTCCTTACTCTTAGGAGAATAAAAACACCAGCTGGATCGTCTGAAGTCTCATCCTTCGATGAATTAACACTGATTTGAAGATAACCTGGTTGAAATGCCAACCAAACACAGTCGGTAAACCACAGGTTTATGGGAGTTCTTTGCGTACATTGACTAGGTCTCTTTTGGAGCCAGATAATACAGAGGTAGGTTGACGGTACAATGTTTCATTAGCCACCGTGAAGTCATTTGCATTTTAGTGGCCCACATGTCCTAGGAGACTACGGCAAATATGGAGTGATGCGGAGAATCTGCACGGCTGAGTGTGAAGCCACTGGGATGTCACTTACCTATAAGTGTGGGATTATGGGAAGCGTTATGGAATATGTCTGCAACGGCACCGCAGGGACATTAAACAGCCAGACACAGCAGTTTCAGAAGTGTGATCATTTTTGTGGAGCGTATTGCTCATCCTCAATGAGCTTGTTTTCACAGAGGACTGGTCTGGTGTTCGTAAACAACACAGGAGACGATGTGAGGGATGGGGTAATTGTATAAGAAAAGCAAATAAAAACCATTCGCTTTTTCTGAAAGACAAATGGGAGTTTTTCTTTCTACCTTCTGTTTTATGTCTTTACTGCTTTGCAAAAGCTTTGTTATGTTCCAAACCCAAATTTGAATGCATTTAGTTGGAGTTTTAAGTGACATGTGATCATGAGGGATAGTCGAATCTCAGTCTCAGGAAGAGCAGTGAGATTTTTGTCCTGGTGTTGGAGCACTGGACCAGCTCTTCACCATCAGCAGGGTTCTGAAAGGTTTACGGGAGTTCGCCCTACCGGTCTACGTGGGTATGATGGATTTGGAGAAGGCGTTGGACCGTGTCTTTCTGGGAATACTGTGGGATGTACTCCAGGAGTAAGGGGTACGAGGTCCTTTGATATGGGCTGTAATGTCCCTGTATGACCGAAGTCAGAGCTTGGTAACTTGTTTCCGGTGAGAGTTGGACACCACCAGGGATGCCCTTTGTCACTGATTCTGGATAAGTGCCTCTAGGGTCATGCTCTTGAGCCTGAAAGGGGTAAAATACCATCTCTGGGTCGGGGAAGAAGTCCTGTTTCATTAGATGAGGTGTTTAAGTATCTCGGGATCTTGTTCACGAATGAGGGGAAAATGGAGCGAGAGATCAACAGGCGGGTTGGTTCAGCAACTCCAGTGAAACAGGTTCTGTACATGTCTGTCACAATGAACAGAGAGCTGAGTCAAAAGGCGAAGATCTCCATTTACCAGTCGATCTACGTTCCTGCCCTGATCTATGGTCACAAGCTCTGGGTAGTGATTGAAAGGACGAGGTCACAGATAAAAGTAGTTGAAAATTTCCTCCGCAGGGTGTCGGGCTCTCAAATTATGAACATGAAACAAGACTTGAAAACTAACATTCACATATCCTGTCCATCCAATCTGACTGAGCTTTAGTTCTATTGTAAAGAACAACGGGCAAAAATCCAAAAGACAAACTTCAGCAAAAGGTGATTCCAAAAACTATTGACTGCGGTTGGCTGCAGATCTTTATTTGTAAAGCAAAGGTTTTAGATTACCGTGTTCCATTTAGTCACATACACACACCTCAAGCTACTTACCATCAAATTCTGCCGGTCCAACTCCAACTATTATAATCGACATTGGCAGAGACGCGGCCTGCAAAAAGGTTTAAACAAACAGAGGGACATTAAAGGCAGCAGTACTCAATGAAATCTCTATTGGCAAAGTTAAACTCTGCACGCTGTCAGCCAAATTGCTAACAGCTCGGTGAAGAAACAGTTCATGCAAAGGGAGCCCTATGGAAAATGTCATCGCTATTGTTAAGACATCCACGCCGTGTTTCGTGAAGCCTCTCACCGCGCCAGTTTCTAATTTCATGCATCTACGAACTTGTCTAAATCTCCCAAAGCTTGTCGGTTTAGAAATGAGTCCAATTTACATCCACCTCTGCACACCCCAACCCCGAGTCTCGGTTCAACTGCAGATCGGCACCGCAATATTGTTTATTAAATCTCAGCCAAGTGGGACAACAAAGCGGGGTTTTAGCGCTGAGTGATGAATGGAGGTTTTGTAAGAGTTTCATAACTTCCTCCGGTTATTAGACTGAGGACTAAAATTGCCAGAGAAACGAGGGACGGAGGAAATAATCACTCTCACGCCTCACCACCAAGATGAGGGCGGGACAGGCTTGGCGTAACTCGGCCAATTTAGGCGCAGCAACTGGGGCAACTCGGGTTCCAAACGTTTGAGATCACCTGAAATCATTGCCCGTATTATCTCCGAGCAAACTCATTAGGGTTATTAAAGCTGAGAACACAGAGCAGGAAGGCGGGGGTGACCACGCTGCCGCTGCTCCACCCTCACTCCCCTAATTAGTGGAGATAAGAGCGCAAGTGTAGGAAGCATGAGAAGACTTTTGCTTTTTATAGCCTTCCTTTCATACTGGGTGTTTGCTGGTTTATCAGGACCTTTGTTGGAGTCTTAATTATAGCGAAACCTCCAGGGCTCCTTGCTAATTTTGCAGTGTATCAGCAGCATGATGGCGTGCACATGGACTGCTGCTGCCCACAATAAAGGGAATCTCATTTATTGTGTCTTTGTACCAGGGTTATAATAGTTTTGGGGTTTTCATTATAGTTTACTTTTATTTTGTTGTGATTTTTAGTTTGTCTGATTCAGTTAGTTTTAATTGGTTTGCTAGTTTCTATTAGTTAAATAATGCTTAGTTTGGATTTAGTTTTAGCTTTTATTAGTTCTAGTAGTAGTTTTGGTTTATTCATAGTTTGATTCTTTGGTTTCTGCACCTGAAAATGAACCAAAGTATTGTATTGTGATTATATATACATTGATTGTGTAATGAATACTCAATAAGGAGCTAAATAAAGAGGACAAGTGGTTTTGTGTCTCGCAGTTTTTCTGCATTGAAGAATCGTCTTTTTGCCCTCCAGCGTTTTTGCACGTGTGCAATTTCCACATGTAATGTGTCTACATGTTTGAGTATCCTCCCAGTTAATCAAAAACAAAGAAGTGACACAGGAAAACCATGTTGTCCTGCTTTGGACTTTGTAAACTTTAAAAACTGACGTGTGCAGATTCACCAACAAGGAAAGCTGTCAGAGAATCGCTGGACCAGCTGAAGAAGTAAATACCGTCTTTCATTTTCTGTGGATATATTGAGAGTCCTTAAAACCACTTAAATTATGAGAAAAAAAATCCATATTTATTTGTTGAAAGCATTGAGGTGGAAGGTTGTGCTGTTGTATAAGGTGTGATGGACTGGGGATGAACCTAGGTTGTGTCAAAATCATGCAAGGATAGGAAACGGATGATAATCACTGCAGGATCTAAGTTACTCTACTTCACTTTCTAACGAGGCTTCAAAGAGAATAAATGTAAAAACCTACATTTACAATGGACTCCTTGGTCTGCGCCATGTCAGTGATCACGCCATCCGAAATGATGAGCAGGATGAAGTACTGCGATCCGTCCGTCACCGCCGATGCATACCTGGCGTTGAAACAGACAAGAAAAAAAAAAGAAAAAAAAAGTTAAAAAGAGACGCAGCAGCGTAGAAAACTTTCATTTCCACAAACATTTTATCCAGACATTTATTAGAGGAGATAAAACATGCGAGGTCTGCTTAATAGTTACCCCACTGACAAGTTTCATTTGTTCCAGGGAAGAAGATTATGGGGAGCATCAATTTTATGGATGGGCAGATATTAACTTGCCGGAGTAAGTGTTTAATAAGCGTTCCATCTCCAGCCTCTATCACCGCCTCACAATTATCTTATTACAGAAAACCTCATTTTAGGAAATTACCCCTCAGAGATCAGTGAAACTGTAGCTTTATTTATTAAAGAAATACTGACCAATTAGACATCATGACAGTCAAACATAGAGTTATGTAAGACATTAATTTATTTTGAAATTTCTGTTTCTTTTTTTAATCACAAATTCTAGTTCTTCACAGATGTTCCAACTAAAAGCTGTTTGTAACTTTAATGTGAGCTACAACATCTTCCATGTCTTCTATGTATCTGAAACAGGACTTGGTGACAGAATGTGATGTTACAGAGGCAGCACAGTCATTTCAGCACCATAACAAATGTTCAAGCTAATTCATCAAATGAATAAAACATTTGTGAGCAGCACCACTTAAGATCAAAGAAGACACAGCGCTGTACATTAAGGTCAGGTCCTTTATTTATTTATCTCCGCAACGAAACGGAGCGGTTCTTTTTGTTTCTTTTTCCAGTATGCTGATGCTAAACGTCTGAGGTGATGGAGCAGGACAGTGTTTTTGCGAGTTTAACAATGCTCCGATGCCACACAGGCACCGGGGCCTAAGGATTTGACGTGACATGATGTCACTTGTTTGGCCGGCGTCTTCCTTGCTTTTAGTCGGAAAGCGGGCGCCGAACAATGCAGCTATTCTCAGGCCGAGTGGGCGGACGGAACGAGAGAGAGACAGAGAGACGGGGGATCTGAAAGCCAATGATGAAAGATGGGAAAAGTGCTTGTTACAGTCAGTCTCCAGGATCATGAGACGAGATCTGGCAGTAGGAGACGTCAGGTGGGAGTCGGGAGAAGCTGCCGTGCAAAACAGCCTCAGAACTTTATTTCGTTCGCTTTAGTAACGGTTAAAAAAAAAAAAAAAGGCAAACAAACTTGTTTTCTCCAGGTTGTAAAGTCAAAACAAAAATTCCCCACATTTTATTAAACACATGTGAACAGTCGTGTGTGGATTAACAATCTACACTCCATGACTCAGCAGCTTGTAGTTCGCCTTTAATTGCAATCATTTACAGTAGAGGTTATCTTTATGATTATATTGTTGTGGAGGCTTTTTGACCCACACTTCATTACAGGATTGCAGACATAGGCACATACTGTCAAACAGGTTGACCTCTGAACTATGAATGGGTCATTTCAGATCCTTGGTTCTGTTCTGTTTGTAGGTGGAGGTGTGGAAGTCACACTTCTACTAATCCACCAAGGTGCTACGGAGCTCATATTTTGCTTAGCGCTGTTGCTAATGTTAAAAATGTTTAGTGCACTTAGCTTACCATAAATTAATCTAACATACAAATTAACGTGGCTGTTTTGTAAACTTTCAGTTGAATAAAGTTCGACATCCATGTTGAAATTTTGGTTATCGACCGTTAAGAATTTTTTCAAGTGGCTGAACCTTTATGTTGATGCTCTAATTTTTCGTTTAGCACCTTAGTGTTTTTTGCTAGCCTTGAAAACACTTAGCACACTTAGCTTCCCCCAAATACATTTTTCTGGATAAATTCTAATGCGCTAATTGACTTGGCTGTTTTGCAAACCTTCAGGTGGATAAAGTTCGACATCTGTGTTGAAGTTTTGGGTACTGACGCTTTTGCTCATGCTCTTATTTTGAAGTAGACAAAGACCGTTTTACACGACAGTTCTGTTTCCTCTCCCCACGTTCCTCAAGCAAATGATGCTTATCCACTACCCAGAATGCATTGGTCCAATGAAAGCAATGGAAGCAGTAAAGATATTGTTAGTTTCAGAACAGATAAGTTTTCCATTTTAGCTTAACGCATTACAAAAATGACATTGTGGAGTTTGGTTTGACATTCTTTACATTTGTTTAAATATAGAAACTGATAAAGACTGAATTAGTATAATGTCCTTAAGGATAAAATCCAAACACTGACAGAATGCATACTTCGTTTTTCCTATGGCTGTGTTCGTCAATTAGGAAAGTGTTTCTGACAGAATCTCTTAGTATCTGCAAGAGTAGTACGTTATTTGTTTTAAATATTTAAAAGACGTAAAAAGCAGATCCTTGCAAATGTTGCTCCAGAAGCCCTCAGGGAGCTATACGCCGAGGATTAGTGAGCTTCAGGTCCTTTTTACAAGCATCCGTTAGGATTCAGTTGATTGCTTGTCTATGAAGCTCATGAGGTGAGGCATTTCCACTTCCTCTGAGGGAGGTTTTAACAGTTTTCCCTTTTTTTTTTTCAAATGCCCCTTAGGGCAGCAAATTGGTCACCGCTCAACTAAAACCTAATTACCGTAAATGTCCACGCTTTAACAGTAGTTATTGATTTCTCTGCCTGAGCTAACTGCACATTTATTTTGACCTACCTGGCCACATGGTTGATAACAGGGGAGAAGTGGGTGGGTCCGTACAGGCGCACACTCTTCAGGCTCTGGTAGTAGGCCTCCATCACGCCGTCTATACCGCTGCAGTACGGGTTCTGAGGGTTACCGTTCTGCTCACAAGGACAGAGGACAAAACGGACTTTCAACCCTGAGAACTGTCAAAGAAATTTTAGACAGTTCTCACACAGATTAAATCAATAAAACATCTTTCTCTGTGGGGGAAAAAAGAAACATCCAGTTTAATTAGTGATATTTGTTTTAGATAATTGGAAGGCAGAAGGGAGATGAACTGGAGTTGTTATGGTTGAAGTTTTTAAGTCAAGTTAGAGTTAAAACTGAAATGCATGGCTTCAAAATAGTCACCTTTCTAAAATAATGGCCTTAGACATTTTTGCTAAAAGTTTTTTATTTTTGATGTTTTTGCTTAGAACATCTTTTGGAATAAAAGGGTGTTTTTTTTATTTTTGACAAAATCAATTTTTGCAATAAATAAATAAGTAAATAAACTTAAGCCATTATTTTAAGAATTTGGCAAAATATAGTTGTATTTATATACAAGTCCATCTACATATCAACAGTCCTCAAAAAACTACATTTCAACTTATGTACACTTTTTGTTTCAGTTCTGTTACATAATAAAAACAAATATTTATTTTGTTATTGGCAATATTTGCCATGCAACAGTCGTCCCCATGACTGGTTAGGCCAATATTTCTCTCTTAAAAATAATTTTATTGGTCTTCTGTGCTCTTCTATTTTTCACATTTATCTTTTCATTTGCTACAATTAATCAATCAATCAAATTGATTTGCAAAGGAATTTTGACAGTCAGGCATAACACAGTGAAAAAAACAACATAAATTAAAATGCTTATTGACGTTTTGGTGCCATTCATTCCTCCATTATTTCCCAAGTAATCAGATGTTGACATATGCTTTGATCAAAATACAGCAGGCTCACAGTTCTCCACTTCCCTGTACAGTCACTTCATCAACGTCTCGTTTTAGTGAGATATTCCACTCCGCTCTGCTCTTCAACTGGGTGTGTGCCTTTTGAGATCTTACAAACACAAATTACACTTAATCGCCCTCCAAGCAGAGATCAGAGTCTGTACAGTGTTAGAGCCTGATCGTTTTACAATAGAATAAGTAGCAGACTATTAAACTCATAGTGAGTCATGTAGTTAAATGATCCAGGTTGTTAAAACACCACACTGCAGTTACAAACGCTGAGTAACAGAACAACCAGCCCTGCTGGTGACGACACACTCAGACTCTTTTTTTTTTTTTTTTTTATTGATTGGCTCTATAAACACTGTGGGATTCATGGTACATTCATCAACATATATTTACCCGCAAATCCAACCATTAAATCTGCGGTATGTAACCTTTATAAAAATATGTTTTTTCCATATTTGTTAAAATTGTCACCACACTATGATATGAGACAGATAATCAGTGGCAAAAATCGAACTCTTTCACCTGCTCCGTGAGCTACTGTCGCTGTCTGAAGAAAGAAGGTCAAAAACAACCAATCAGAAGCATGAGGCGATTAATTAGCATAGCCATTGTTGGCTATGCTAATTAGAATTAGCATTTGTGACAGGCTATGTTGTGGTGAACCAGCTTTGGGAGGGGAGAACACAAGATATGTGAATATGTAAAAAAAAAAAAAAAAAAAATTTTTAATAAAAGTTAAATACTGCAGCTTCAACTCAATATGATATATTAAACAAAGGGCTCAAAAATAGCACTTTTATCACGTTCTGGTGTTCACATACAACCAAACACTCCTGGAACACTGTTTTCCACATTGCTGTGTAATGCTAGTGTACAAAAAATGAAAACATCTTATGAACATTAATGGAACAAAAATTAGTGGTGAAATAATTCCAGAAGAATTCGTCAAAAAATAGGTTAGGCTGCTGTCAGTTGGAGCAGCTCCAAGCATTTAGCATGCTGATCTGAGTGACTCCTCATCACTGTAGAAAAAGCATCTGCATAGTGCAGCATGAGCTTGAGTAATCTTATTATTGATTTGCTGCTACCACATTTGGGTAGCATTTGCATAAATTAGCATAAAGGTCGCAGTACCAATTCATATTAGAACAATAGTTTTTGCTAATATTCAGATAAAAACAATGAAACATTTCTCCAAATTGGAAAAGGCCTTGGAATGACAAACTATCTCACATCCTTCATGCCAAATTGTAGAATAACAGGATGTACATTTTGTACAATGTACATTTTCTAGAAGTTAGATTTTTGTGCCAGAGAATGTGTTTTCCATGCGCTCAAAGGAAAGTTTCAAAGAAGAAACAACAGTAAGTAACTAAAAATAGCAGGAAGCCATGTTTAACTTTGCTTGGTTACCCATAAATACAACTGCACATGAAATCCTTTGCTTTGTAAATGGAGCTTGTATAATTGTGCCACATTCAGCGGCCGCCCATTCCCACTACTACTGCTCTACAGCTGCAAGTGGAATCCTTAATGCTAAGAATAATGCATGTGAGACTCGACTGGAGGTTCAGCGCCGTGGGGGAAGCTGCTACCCAACGCAGAGCAGCTGTAATAGCTGCAAATGCCTCTGGAAAAACATCTGGACGGAAGAGTAAACCGACCAAGACGGCTGTGTGGAGCCAGGGAGGAGTCAGGGTACCTTCTCTTTTGGAAAACATGACGGATGGATGAGCTATGAAAAGTTAGACAAAGTGAAGGACTCAGCACTTTTCCCATCTGGAGAATGGCAATAAATTCAAATGTAGCTAAATAACTGACTCAAACATTCTCCCTAGATGCGCTTATATAGGCACAAATACCCACCATAAATATTTTGTACTGCTAAATCAAGAGTCTGTAACCCTGTGAAATAAAATAGATGAGAATTTTATGTTTAAAAAAGATTTGTATTTGTAAAGAATACCCATTTTTTGTTGTTGAGGGCTTTTTACAGGTAAAAAGTGAAAAACATCATGCCTCACATTCCCTCGCTTGTGTGTGAGTTTCAACCTTCAACCTTTCAGCTGGTCGGTCAATTTCATGTCAGTCTCAAACTTAACGATCAACCAGTGCCGTCATAGAAACGGTGCTTGTAGAGACTCTGTGTGCTCGCTACAGAACGCGTCGGTTCGTTTAGAGACCATCAACAAACACAACTACACAGTCTGAGTTACAAGTACAAAACGTTTATGACTGGAATTTGTGTCCGTACATTTTTCTTTTTTTTATGTTGGACTCCTTTTTCCATCAACTGCCAACACAACACTCCCTTTAATAAGGTTAAATGTTTGTCCAAAAGTAGCTATAACACTCCTTTAAAACAGACCTAGGACAACAAGATATCTTCAGTTTGCATGTTATCTTCTTTTTACAGTTGAATTGCAGCTAGTGTTGATGGATGCAGCAATAAAATCCCATCCATGATATATTTTAGTTGTTTTATTCAAACACAGAGCGGTTGTTTTCCCCAAACAAACACTGACAATAAATGCTTTTGGATTTATATTATTTCAATGAGAGAATTTGAGGATTTGTCAAATATAAAATCCTACCCATAAAGGTGCCTCGCTTCCCTTTAGATGCATTACAGCGATTTAGATGGTTATAGCTTACGACAAATGAAAACCCAAAGTAAAGTTTCTCACATAATGTAACTATTACATTAGACTGGAAAAAACAAACAGAAATGTGTTGTTTATGGCCATATTATGATCTGCATAGTCATAAGGAGGACTGCTGTTCAGCAGGCAGTAACAATAAAACCCTCCAAATGATGCAAAAGGTCACTGATTTAGAAATGTGCCGAGCCTCTTGATGATTGAGAGAAATTTAAAAGTGTGCTGTAAAAAATTACACAACAGGGAGAAACACGTCCTTAAACGGATTACAAGCCAGAACCAACTCAAGAATTTGGGGGAGATTCACAATGCAGGGACACACAGAGACGTTTACATGACATGGACTCCAACTGCAACACTCATTATGTTTATGCCACTCCTGAACCTCAAAACCATCTCACCTGGGTTACATAAGGACTGGACTGTTATTCCTCTTTTCAGATTTTATAGGGGGATCAAAGTCCCAGAGTCTGAAGGAAGTGACCTTCACCATGAGATACTGCACTGATGCAGCTACGCATGCAAATATTAAATGCGTAACATGCACAGTTTGTGATCAGATATTTTGAGTGGGTCAAGAGAATTAATTTAAATTTTTTTTTATCTTTTGTGAAAATTCTGAATTGTTATTTTAGATTTAATTAGGTGTAAGCCACAGTCACATAATAAAAACCACTGAAATAAAAGCTAAAAATATAATATAATCACAGTGAAATCACTAAAATAAAATAACTGATATGAGGTGTAGGTAGGGCAGCCGTCCACCATGTTTTGGAGTTTAAAAATGTTTAAAGTTGACAGGAAATTGAGCACAAAACTAGGTAAATATGTTATTGGAAAGCATTATTAACAATATCTGAACATCAACTGAAAAGTTTTTAAAAAAAGGCAAACGTGAAAAAATTACAATGAAAATAAATAGATTTTTTTTCTTTGCAACCCAATAATATTGCAGCTTATAATACAGAAACTGAGACATAGTCAGTCTACTTAGCTGAGATGAACCTTGGAGCTTCTATGCACCATAAATCTTGAACCAACTTCCAAAAAACTGCAAAAAAGCCAAAACACTGAGTTCCATTAAATCAAGACTAAAAACACACCTGTTTAAAGTTGCCTTTGATTAGTAATAAATGGAACACCGATCAACATATTTGATGTGTATTGATGATTTTGAGGATTAAAGGCAAATTTGAACTGCACAATGCAAAAAAACCTGAACTTGAATCCAAATACACATAGTAGGATGATCCACAGTACGTGGCCTGACGTTAGGCTGTGTGTTGTGAAAAGTCTTTCCTCACCAGGGGAAACTCATGGGAGACACGCCCGTCTGGTGGGAGCTTGGCACCGAATCCCAGCGCAGGAAACAACTTGTCGCTGTCGTAGTCCTGGATGATCTCCCCGATGGCGCGCAGGGCCATGGCGTAGTCATTCAGCTGGTACGGGCTCATGTAATGGAGCGAGGTGGGCTGGGATGGGTTGCCTGCGCCCCAAGCACAGCAACACAACAAAACACAGGTTAGCAACATACTGTCATTATGTTTCCTTCCCCTGCGTTTGATTCATATCACATCACGCAGTGTAGATCTAGATCCAAAAACATTTGTTACAGCCCCGTCAGAACTGGAAGCAAGATAGATTCAGATGCTGAATGATGCATTTGGTGTGCTGGTGAATTTGTGAAACCTGTTGTAAAATTACAGCTGCAGAATGGAGCGGCTTATAAATAACAGACGGCGCAATTGTTGAGATAAATGAGCATGTAATGGCATGGAACATATGGAGTGTAAGGAGAACTTTGCAGTGATTCTTAGACCTTATCAATTTTCCATGCTTAGGAGTCGTGTCACTAACGGAATACTGTTAGAGTGTGATTGGTTTTCTTGAGACTTAACAACTAACAGAAGTAGTTCAAAATAAAAAAAGATTCATTTAATTCAGGGGGTTCCAACATTAATTCTGGAGATCTAATGTCCTGCAAGTTTTAGATGCAACCCTGCTCCAACACACCTGAATAAAATGAATGGCTTGTTACGAGGCCTTTGCCAAACTTGATGGCAAGATGAAGAGGTAACTCAAGCATATGATTCAGGTTGGATGTAATCCTTGGTTCACATAGCAAGATTTTTTAAATTGTCGGCTGATTTTCAGAACCTGAGAGACGACACACACAGCAATAGAAGATCTTGAGAATAACAAGTTTGGTCGTAGAGTGTGTGGTACCTTAAAAAAGACCATATTTGTCACATAGTTTGTAAAATGAACATAAAAAAATAACACCAAAAAAAAAAAAAAGCAAAAAGCAAAAAGCA